ATTTATAATATTAGCAGCCCCTCTAGCATGACCACCGAAACGGGATATGATAAAGCAAATATCGGCATTAACTGTCAGACTACAATGGAGTTTGACAGTAGTCTGACAGTAAATGTCGATATATCGCTTTATCATATCCCGTTTCGGTGGTCATGCTAGAGGGGTAGATTCTACATAATAATGCATTAGCAATAGATTAATTTAATAAAATTAAATTTACACATACTACCATGCATTAGACATACACACAATACAAATATACAAGAAACACAGAAAAGAACTCTGACAAAAGAACACTGGTACTTTCCGTGAAAAATTATAAAATCTAACTGATAGTAAAAAACCGCAACAAATTCCTTTGCGTGATTTTGGTGTAGTAAACGGATTTATTACAGATAGACACAAAAAGGAATTTTATTTTATACTAGTGCCTGTGGCCCCCTAACCTCGTCTACATGTTAAATCGGTTTCCCATACAAGCTCCTCCCATTTCACCCCCTCAAAAGATGATTTCTGAAATAGTCTATCCTATATCACATCCCGGGAATCAAACTATCACTTTGAAACTATCGCGTTACATTATAGGTTAACAAATACCTCACGATCATATTCTTTAATATTGTTATTACCAGTGCAAAAGAAAAAAAGAGCGCGAGACATTTGAAAACCTTCGGCGGTCAAAAACAACAATATGAAATCTTAAGCGAAAGCGATAGCCAAAGCAATTCCGTTCAGCGATTGGGCCCTGGTTGAAACGTCGGGATAAAAATGCGCGTTTATATGCTATATTCATAAACTATGTCTGTACCAATCGTCAACTATATCAGTGTTTTACATGTGAAGAGTTTAAATGTTAAGAGGTCGATTCGGTTTAAATGTGAAGAGGTAACAGCTAGACAGATTGTCTATCTGCATTTGCCATTATAATATTAGTATGGATTGTTTCCGCCCGTGACTACGTCCGCGATAACTTTAGTTTTTCGAGAATCCCATGTATCAATCAAGGTAATAAACTTTAAGTGTACTGTGTGATTGAGTATCAATCCTAAAAACTTTTAAATGAATATACCTAGTCAGGTGATAAGTATTGTCACACAGTAAAAACTTTTCTTTTAGAATGCTGGCCACAAAAAAGTTTATTGAATTCGAATTTCGAATTGTTCATGAAAGTAATGATTACGGCAGCCACCGATATTGACATGGACCTCGTTCGTGCTGCGATAGACGACTGGCCGCGCAGATTGAAGGCCTGTATTTAAAATCAAGGAGGTAATTTTGAATAAACTTTATTGTCATAAAAATCTATGTTTTGTTAATTTCATTTTGGTATATAAATGGTTACATAATGAATAAACTTGTTTCAATTATTGAAAATAAAAATATATTTATTGGAACTAATTAAGGTTACATGTATAATTAGGTTCGTTAATAGCTATTTTAGTTTCTAGAACTGTGTTACAGCTATTAGCGCCCACCTCCAGATACAGAGACGTGTTATCCATGATACATAAATAAAAATTACAGTTCATATCTTACCATTTACTTAAAGATAAAAAGTATGTATGTGTGTGTGTTTGTATATATGAGTGTGTGTCCTATATATATTAAACATGTGACAGAATTTATGACCTGACTGCGTAATGTATTGATTATATAGGGTGAAATTGAATGTTTTAATGAAACTTCGTGAGATTGTTGGGTTACGAGTATAGAGTACGCCTGATTTTTTTCGGATTTTTTTTCATGTATTTATTTATAATTTGTGTATTTTTTTGTCCTTTCCTCCTTTTGAGTAGTTATTCATATTAAACAAACATGCTTACATATCCAGTGAAAAACAACTAATAAATAAGCACTTCTAAAAAACGGAAAAACAGTAAAATTCCACCGCGGGTCAACGACCGACCGCGCCCGCCAGCCGTTGAGTGAGTAGGTACGTACACAGAGCTCAGCTGACTCGTTTGATTCCACACAATACAATAAAATCGTCTTAAATGCCTTTATTTAAAATGAAATAATAAGCACAAATGTCATCTTCTCTTAAGCAGAGAAAAACTTAAAAAGTTAATAATAATTTTGTCACGATTGGAAATAGGCAAAAGTTAAACAAAAAGAAATACTTATTGCAGTTCAATACTTGGGTCAGAATGAAATTTATTACCAGGTATTCAAAAGTACTTACGAGACCGATGTACCTATTATTTTTTTTCTCTATAACTTCCCAATAAATCACCAAACCTACTTTCGTAAAGCCTTGTGGCTCTGCTGAGTATTCCGTGACACTCGCAATAACAACACACCATATCCAAATTCTTATATTGAGGGCACAGAACAAGAACTAATCAAGGCATTATTTGCAAATCTTGTCTTGTCACAAATTTAAAAGATACGCGCGCTTGAGACTCCGCTCGCTCGCTCACTGCGCTGTGCACCGCACATACCTAGATAGGTAGGCAGGAAGGTATTCAACGGCGGGAGCGGTCATTGCTCCCGGCCGCCCGTCTCCTGTTTTTACGTCTTTTTTAGTAGTGCTTATTACTTGTTTTTTACTTACTCTGTATGCATGTTTTAAAAGAATAATTATTTAGTACCCAAAAGGAGGAAAGGACTTAAAATATAACAAAAAAAAACAAAAATTTATTTTAAATCATTTTTTAAAAAATCCGAAAAAATTCAGAGATACTCTATATACGTAACCCAACATTCCCACGAAGTTTCATTAAAACATTCAATTTCACCCTGTATATATATAATATGTAATAATTAATAGGGTTTCTTTTCTATCACAGTCTCATGAAATGCGTAAGCATTTATATAAGATTTTTTTTTAAATAAGCACTCAAATTCGCGATGCGCTTTAAGCAAAAATATCAACACATAATATAATCAAATTCGCAAATATACTTGCAAAAATGAAGCCATATCGGTAAACAGATTGTCATCGCAGCAGCCCTTAGCACCTTAATAGCATAGCAATAAAAAGTATTTCTGAATTGCAAACATTTTCAAAATTGTATTGACGATAACGAAAATATAATCAGATCAGCTATAATAATTCGCTTAAATATGAATTTTTAAATAGTGCAGACTACATTGGCAATAATGTTAGCACGTTTGGTCTGCAATAGTGGAACACGAGCAGCTTTCACAATGGCTGGTTATAAGATGGGTGACGAAAAATTCAATATCTATCGATCTCCTCCATGCTTCGGAAGGCATGTTATGACCGTTGGTCCGGGTTGCATCTGCAGTCGTTAGCACCCTCAAATCCGCACTGGACCAGCGTGGTGGGACCATGGGCCAATCTAACTATGTATTCCGTTCGTTTAGGAAGGTCGCTAGTAATTTGGTGTTACACGAGCGAAAGGTAATTTTTTAAAGTTACAATAATGTTTATATTTCGCTTCAGTAAGCAGTTTTATTTCGTAATTTCACAACATTATAAATAAATACGTGAAAGAAAAACTTTCGCTCTCTTCTGTGAGATTTTACGAAAAAAAAGTTTCTATGGAACAGCAATGCACAAAGCGTTAGTCTTATAAAAAAATGGGTGCGTGTACTTATGTAGGCGCGTGAGAAGTTATCCTTCTTTGGCATCGTTTAAAATTAGTTTTTAATTGCATGCAAATAATTAATTACAATAAATTAATAAAAAGTCTGGAAAAGGACACAGTCAATAAAGTTCAGTTTTAATTTGAAAAAATAAATAAATAATCAAAATATTCAATTAAAATCGCTACTGAATATAATTTATTAGAACATATGTGATTTAAACTTGTATGAAACTCAAACACGTATTCCGAATATACAAACTAGGAACATGTGGATAAATATTATAAATATGAATACCTATAACTGTTACTTTATTACAAAAAATAAAGATGTGGTTTTTGGTTCTAGTACACCAATGGTTAAGAGATGGCGCTGTAGTCTCCTGAATCGCGCTTTGGTTCCGTTGTTCCAGATTAATAAATACTTTTTGTTACTTTATTACAAAAAATAAAGATGTGGTTTTTGGTTCTACTACACCAATGGTCAAGAGGTGGCGCTGTAGTCTCCTGAATCGCGCTTTGGTTCCGTTGTTCCAGATTAATAAATACTTTTGATAGGCCTTCACAATGCAGTCGTTAGCACCCACTAAATAGAGATTCTATTTCTATTTTGTTGGTAGATTTTCTTAATGTGCGGTAAACACAAAAATTTTGTGTTACAGTAATGCGCGCGCATCTTAAAATTTCACTCTCATCATGTTTTCATAACGCGCCTAAAGAAGTATAACTTCAATAATACAGTAGAACTACAATAAATTAATAAAATAAATACAACATATTTGACACACAGAAATGATTTCTAGAAAGGAGAACCTAATGATTACAGAAGTATATATTTATAATGAAAATTGGGAGATGTTGCTGTGAAAAAAAAGGGAAAATCCCCACAACATTAAGAAGAATGAAATAATTAATGTACAACATTTACAAATCATTACTACCTTCCCACTATACTATCTTAAATATTTATTCATTATTTCTTCTCTATTTGATTGTAACAATGTAATTCATAATTTCACAGGTCTTTTTAAAATTTGAAAACTTGATTAAACAAACTACTATGATTGAACTCATAAAAATAAAAGAACTTCCTTTTTAAAAATGTATCGTGTCTCAAATATGCGGTAGACGAAATAACTTTGGGAAACTCTGTTATATTATATTATAACTAGCTGACCCAGCGAATTTCGTTCCGCCATAGGTGTTGGTGGTAGGTGGGTGAAAATTTAGGGTTTTATTTATTTTTGTATGATATATCATAAAAAAAAAAACAAAAAAAAATAAGGTTGGACGACCATTAACATTTAGGGGGATGAAAAATAGCTGTTTTCCGATTCTCAGACCTACTGAATATGCATTTAAAATTTCACGAAAATCGGTAGAGCCGTTTCGGAGTAGTTCAATGACGCACACCGTGACACGTGAATTTTATATATAAGAAGTACTCACACAAGATCCCAGTCCAGCTTTTCAAGCTCGTGCAGCAGCTGCAGCATTCGATGGCGGAAGTAGGGAACAAAGTGGCAGTCGTCTTCCAGTATTAAAGCCGTCTCTATCTTGCGGGATACCATCTGGAATAACGAGAAATTTAAAAATAAAAATTACATACTATATTAATTTTAATCCATGCACACAATGTAAGTATTCAAATGTAAATAATAAACATTTAAGAAAGTAATGTAGAAAATTAATAAATAAGGATTTTTTATTTTAATTTTTTATCTGACTACATTTTCGGGGTCCGATTGTCTTTTTCTTTTTATTTTATAAAGAGAACGAAAACAAAAAAATACCTCTTCCCAAATGCTGTAGTGACTAAGGAAACAACCCACTTCTCCCGCTTTCATCGGTCTGAAACACCAATCAATATATCCATTTCAAATTACAATATTATTACATACATTCTTATCTTATAATTAAATACTTATATTCTTAATTTAAATAGAAGTCTTTCTGCATAACGTTTACGCACCTCAACCTCTAAACCGATTCTGATGAATTTCGGTATAGACAGTGTGGTGCACGGGCAAGAAGATAAGATTACTACTTATAGGGGACTACCGTTTGTATAGAGCAGGGTTCCTTAAATGGCGTCCACAGACCACTGAGAGATTCGTAGTGTGTGTACCAAGGTTACGCTGTACATAATAAAGAAAAGAAGTAGCAATAAGTCTTCTATAAGAAGAAAGTAACTTCTACAGATATATTCCATTTCAAAAGAAATATCAAGTGTGCCCTGACTTCTTTAAATATTCTTAGTTATTATTATTTCGTATTTATAGTTCTTAGTTGTAAATGTGAAAGTACGCATGTTTGTTACTCAATCACAGAAAAACGGCTGAACATATTATGAAACTTTGGCATACATATTATAGTTTCTTAGTTGGACTTATACTGGGATGATTTTTATCCCGAAAAAAACATTTATCCCTGTGGCCAGAAGCTAATACATATGTGTATATTATTAATTATTATAAATTAATATTAATATTATAAATAATATTTATATTATAAATTCAATAAATTCATACCTTTTATGATAAGGATCCTCATAGTTGGGCATCAGTGTTATGGAATGCTTCTTGAGGTTGTCCATGTCCAAATTTCTGCAAAAGGAAAAGTAACAAAATTTACTGTCAAGGTCCATATATTTATTCTTATTCTTTATTATAATTTTCAGACTGCATTATCACAAGACAAGACATCAACAAGACTGAAAGAAGAAACAACAATGTGAGACTACAGTAGGCTGTATTCTTATAGTATTTTGTAAGTTGGCTATAGACCACCATATACACTTCTGGACACATCTATCGGCCCACCTAGCATTTTAAGTTTTAGCGGTCCCTAGCTAACAATAAACCTTGCGCAAAAACTTATTACCTATGCAATTAAAGAAACTGAAATATTAACCATCGATTCGTGTGTTTTTAAAATCATTGCTCAACAATAAATAAACACATATTTTTGCTACAGACCATTGAAATGTACAACATTAAGTGGGTAATAGATGTAATTGGAAGTATATATCTACTGTAAGGTTAATGCTTCGGGCGGACGCTATGTATTAAGGGGAATATCCATTGTGTCCTACCTGCCAACAGATTAATAGATACCTTCCATCAAACGCCTTCACCAGCTGCACATCCATCCCAAGCTCTTTGAAGCTTAATTCCATCAGATGCAGTCTGTCCTTTCTTCTCTCCAAGTTGATCAGGAATATCTCTCCACAGCCAAATTTCCATGGCTGAGGGTACTCCACCAGGTCTGCTAACGATTCATCCAAAGGAAGAGGCATGTGACGGCTGATCGCTTCCAATTTTATGTTCAAAAGTTGCTCTTTATCATTTTTTGGGTCATCACTGTCTTCTAAGGGTACAGGAACGAAGCCATAGATGTGGTCGTTGCATATATGCAGTGAAATGTCTGTGGAAATTATATTTAATTGTAAAACTCCATAACACACTTTATGCAATAAAATAACAAGTTATATAAATATACAGATATATTTTAAGAATTTCATTATCATAGGCACTGCTTTAGGTGATAAGGGGCAGTTAACAAACATATTGCCTGATGTTTAGTGGCTGCCATAGACTCTAACCACCAGACTTTTGTTCATTATTTTAAGATAGTCCAGGTTTAGGTTAGGTGCATATGTTACAGGTTTCGTGGATGCCTTCAAGTAAGCTTCAGTCTAAACATATGAAAGGGAATGAAACTGCTGATTACCAATCATCAAAAATATTTCAAGGTTTGCAAGATTCTGTTATATTTTGCTACCGTGTGCAGGTCCTTAGCCTAAATTGAGTGGTTTTACCTATGAAGCACTTAAAAATGTTATGCCCAATAAATATTACTATAAAACATATAACAGAGGCTCTGAACCCACTGTTGTAACATCAAGGGCCCAGACAATTATCGACCTAACCCTCACTAGTGAGAGAATTGCCCAATTCATCACTAATTGGCATGTATCCGACGAAGCATCTTGCTCGGATCATAGATGGATTAGGTTCCACCTTCACATGAACACTAAACCACCAGACCCACGACGAATTCCACGTAAGACCGACCGCAAAAAATTTAGCTCACTAGCTACGGCCAGCCTAAAGTGTATCCATTTACCAGAGGTTTATAATAACCCTATGGAAATAGACACACACGTGAATAATCTAACATCAAGCTTAATCGTCTGTTATAAACAATCCTGCCCACTCACACAGCAACGCTCAACAGCTAAAAGTAAACACAACTGGTGGGGTCCTGAACTAACTAAATTGCGACACAAGGTAAGGAAAATATTCAACAGAGCTAAAAACACCAGACTAGAACACGATTGGATTCGCTACAAGGAGGCACAGTCGCGGTACAAGAAGTGCATCCGATTCAGGAAAGATGAATGTTAGAAGCGCTTCTGTAGCGACATCCAAGACAACAATCATGCTGCAAGAGTGAAGAAAATCCTAAGCAGCGACCCTGAACGCAACTTAGGTTCACTCAAAAAAGCCGATAACACCTATACAAAAACCGACGCTGAAACCTGTGAAGTACTGATGCAAACTCACTTCCCAGGCTGTAACACAAAAGACAACCAAGAATGGGAAGATGAAACATTTGCAAATCCGGAATCAGCTGACTGGGCAACTGCACACAAAATCATAAAACCTAACACATTAACATGGGCCATCAAAAGTTTTCTCCCATTTAAAGCAGCAGGACTGGATGGCATTTTTCCAGGCCTACTGCAATGGTGTGGTGAGTCGATACTCGACCATCTTCTAAGCATCTATACGGGATGCCTGGCTTATCGGTACATACCCACCAAATGGAGAGAGGTGAAAGTCATCTTCATACCAAAACAGACCACTCATCACCTACGGTGCAATAGTTTGGTGGCCTAGAACTGAACTAGCCACCGTTAAAAACAAACTGCAGCGTTTTCAAAGACTTGCATGTTCAGCAATTACAGGCTGCATGAAATCCACACCGACAAACGCCCTAAAAATAGCGCTAGACCTATTGCCACTTGATCTGTTCATACAGCAAGAGGCAACAATGGCAGCGCTTAGAATGTACCATCTGGGCTTATGGACGGGATACCAGGGACCTCACTCCAAGATTTTGGAAAGGGCTATACAACACCAACCCCTTGTAATAGCCCGCTGTGACAAAATCCCGACTATACACACATTTGATAAGAAATATCAAATAGAACTACAGGAAGCCAACAAGGACTGGTCCGGCACAGACGAAATGCGCATATACACTGACGGATCCAAAATACCAGGATCCGGATCAGGCCCCGTGGCAGTGTAGCTAGGTCTGCTATCGGGCACGTCCTCTCGGGTGGCGGATGGGAGGTACCGGCTTCGGCCGGCGCGGATAGTGAAGCAGGCGAAGCGAAGCAAGGGCGGGCCCGAAGCTTTGCCAAGCGCTCCGGAGGAGCAAGACGTGAGAACGGTGACGGTCACCCGGGATAACATCAAGAAAGAGATGACGATGCAGGAGATCCTAGGAGATACCCTCGCTTGCCGGAATGAGCTCGACGATGTAGCGCAGGAGCTCCTAGCAGATATAACCAGGAGGAGAGGCGTCGGTGTTACAGTAGGACCAGGGAAATGAACTGGTACGTGAGGTCGCTTACCGTTGCACTCAAGGAGGAGAGAGAGAAGGCTGGCCGACTTGGAGAGGAGAACAAGGGCCTAAGAGTGGAAGTCGTGGCCCTAAAAAAGGACGTGGACATCCTGAAGAAGGCGCACCGAGCGCAACAGCCAGTGTTGACAACGGAGGCCACTGAGGAGCTGAAACGCTCCCTTATGATCAGCATAGGGGAGATGGTCAGCACTCGGCTGGCTTCCTTTGCAGAAAGGCTCCAGCTGCCGCCGGAGAAGAGCCCCAGGCCACCACTGGCAGCGGATCGCAGCACGGCGGAGGGCGCAGCAAAGACGGGGACGAAGGAGAAATGGAGCGTGGTAGCTGCTCGGAGGAAGCCGAAGAAGGAAAAGGGCACGGCTCCCGCAGCAAGCCCGGTGCAGAAGGGGAAGACTGCCGCGCAGAACAGAAGCGGTCCTGACCAGAGGAAGGGTGGGGAAACGGTGCCGCGCATAAAGGTGCCAAATACCGCCGCAATTGAGCTGAAGGTGAAGCGCAGGGCGGAGGAGCTGGGCTTCACCTACACTAACATTGTGGAAATGGCACGGGCGGCAATCGAGCTGCCGTCCGTGGGCATTGAAGAAGGGCTCAAAATTAAGAGCAGCCAGACTGGCTCCAGGCTCCTGCTCGTCTCGGGGCCTGGAAACAGGGGAAAAGCAGACGCCTTAGCCAAGCGTATGAAGGAGGTGGTCGGCAAATACGTGGAAATTTGCCGGCCCGAAAAAAAGAGCGGACCTGAAGCTGACCGGACTCGACGAGTCCGTGACGCCGAAGGAGCTCAAGGAGGCGATAGCCAGAGAGGGAGGATGCGCGGAGAGCGAAATCTCATCGAGGGGAGAGCACCCAAGTCCAGGAGGGATGAGGGGGATCCTCGTACGGTGTCCCACATGGGCCGCGAGGAAGTTGGCGGAGAAAGGAAGGCTCAAGGTGGGCTGGAGCTCAGCGAGAGTGACGGTCCTCAGCCGGCTCGTGCACTGTTTCCGGTGCATGGGCAAAGGGCGCTCGGCTGCGCGATACCCGGCGCAGGAGGACCGGAGCACTCCGTGCTACAGGTGTGGGAAGACGGGGCACAGGGCGGCGGTGTGCGCTGCCCCGCCCCGGTGCGCAATCTGCGCCGAAAGTGGCAGGCCATCTGGCCACATAATGGGGAGTAGGAGGTGCGACCCTCCGATTACCAGGGGCAAAGCCCCAGGCAAAGTGGTCGCTGAGTCGTCGGCGCCGGGACAGGCACCCTCAGAGGACGGGATGTCCGAGTAGCCTAGGCTACTCGGACTCCCTGCCGACTGCCGTCGCCCGCGTCTCCCATCTCTTCTCCTAGGAGAAGGGTCAGGGAGACGCGGGCGGCCGGGAGAGGGGATGTTTGCCCCCGCATCGACGGCGAGGGGAGAGGGACGGGGAGAACTACGCTCCTCCTCCCGCTCCTCCGGGAACCAGTGGCCAGGCGTGGGGGGCGCCGGGTCACATTGCACGGTTCCTGAGACGTGTGGTGCCCCTGATACTCCGGGGAACCGCACGCCGGGGGGGTCCGGCAACGGACAATCACTGGCGGGGCCGCGGTGCGTTGCGAATCCCGTGGCTACCAACCCACACTCTCGGCACGCAATGGGGGGACTTCGGTTCTCGGATTGCGTGTCGGGTGACCAGTGCTGGAGTATTGTCTGGTTTTTAATGGCCCTGCTTAGGGCGTAGGTAGGGCCCTGCTCACTTCGGCGAGCCTCATGGTTCGCTGAAGTGGACGGGGAGGAGTCTCACATACCTTCTTCTCGCTCCCCCAGTGGTTGAAGGATGCGTAAAGCATTTTCCAGACAAAACTAAAAAAAAATAGGATCCGGATCAGGCGCTGGAGTATTCTGCCTAGACCTTAACATCCATATATCAACCGCACTGGGTACTCACAGCTCAATATTCCAATGTGAATGTATAGCCATTACTCAGGCCGCCACCGCCGTCATCAACAGGAAAGTCAAGAACTATAAGATACGCATAATATCTGATAGTATGGCTGTCCTAAGAGCCCTAGACAGTAACAGGAAAACTTCTGGGCTAGTATACGAATGTCACCTAACATTGGAGCGAATAGCAAGAGAGAACAAGGTTATCCTCCAATGGATCAAGGGACACAGCGGCTCTATGGGTAATGACGCAGCCGATGTACTGGCTAAAAGGGGATCAGCACATATAGTGGAAGGCCCTGAGTCGCTCCTGCCGTTACCCTTTAACCAAATTCGTGCATGGGTGCGCCAGCAAACCATACAGAACCATAACACCCGCTGGGCCAATACCGAGGGCTGCAGGCAATCTAAGGCTATCTTCCCTAGCCTCAACCCAAGACTAACTAGAAAACTACTAAATCTTAACCGAATTGATCTCCGAGTAATGCTGGGCACTATAACGGGGCATATGCTTGCTAAATAAGCATTTACTAACCATACGTGTTACAGATAGCTCTCTGTGCAGAGGATGTCTAGAAGCAGATGAAACAGCCGCTCATGTGATCCTGGAGTGCATGAGTGTGGCACAACACCGGGCATCAATCCTCAGGACGCCGAGGACGCTCCTAGAAGCCTGTGAGAGTCCCAGGAGACTACGGCGCTTCTGGAAGGAGCTGGGCTGGCTGAGCTAGCCCAATCAACCCTGCATGCACAATGGACTAATTAAGAGTCTAAGTGCGGAAACGGGGGACCACAACAAGTAACAAGTAAGTACCATAAAACATACAATTTATATGGCCATTTTTATGGAAAGCATTCGCTTGTTTAAGCACACAGTCTGCCCGATCTTAAGCGATTACCATGTCCTATGGATATAATACAAGTGTAGCCATTGAGTTTATATGTTTTATAAGAATATATTTTATAATTTTAGAGCACATAAAAATGCTCAGTAATATACATTAACTTTGGTCATTACCATTATTTTTGGCATTGATTGCAAATGCTATAATGTCATCATCAGGTCCACTGTAGTTATGTATTTTATTAGGATCATATGTCAGCAACTCAGAGTCCTTCCTTCTAAGAGATATGAGTACTGCTGTATGTACCATTGGCACGGCAAAGCAACCCAGCTTTTCCCGGTTCCTAATAGGCATGTAATCATCTGTGCGTTTATAATAGTAGTTTTCTGTCATCCCACACCTGTCAAAACCAATATGTAATTACAGTATATGGTTTTAATATTAAGAACTCATAGCAAATTGAAGCTTAGTGTTAATGTTACAGTTTGAGCTTTCGTAATCAATGATAGACTATATGTAGGCACCATATAATATGAAATCATGCTATACAATTAAATACTAGACTACAATAATTAGTACATGCTTATATTAATTAACTCTAGCAGTGGACTAGAATTTAATGAAATAGAATGGACCAACTACTTGCATTACTGTAAAATTAAAATTTTGTCAATAGCTAAAATGTTCTGAAAGACATACATGGTGGTAAATAATATGGCAGACTCATTTAGTATGGTAGTTAGCTTTTGGATAATCCATGATGAAAATCTGTTTTAATCTACACCACTCTATCTCTATTGAGATAACTCAAAAATTTTATTAATAAAACATGACTAAATGATAACAGTAACATTTACTTTGAAATAAAATATGAGTCAATGCTTTTATTGACAAGAACAAATGAATGAATACTTTAATATATCACAATTTATTGAAATTAGACCATAGATGTCTTAAGTTAGAAATAATAATGCAGCTAATACATTAGGATTAAATAAAGAAGTAGGACAAAGGTGATTGACTGACTTACCACAATGAATAATGCAAAATATATTATAATTAGCATTTAATAATGACCATTTGCAAAAGCATGAGAATGCAAGGTAAGTAGTAATAAGCATCACATTGACATTCAGCATGCTGCATACTGAAACACTAGGGCATCTAACCAATAGTTTGAATATAATCCATCAGATATTAGCATTGGTGCAACCACTGGTAAATCTTTACCAACTAATTTTTTCAGTGTCTTATTATTGGTCAAGAATACATCTGCATCCAACATCTGAAATAAAAAAATCTTTTATAACAGCAAACCTAGTATGTTTATAAGCTAAGACAAAGTTTAAGGAAAATGAAAGTCTTACAAAAATGTAATCAGCCCACAGCCTTCTTACAAAACCAAGCGCTTCTTCTCTCAATCGTATTACATGCCTGAAGTGTTCAGGGCTCCAATGAGTAGACTGTTTCTCATCTACATGAAGGAAACCACTTGTCCTGTTTGTTTTAAGTACAACACCATTATAGTTCAAGGCATGCTTTTCCACCCATTTTTCTAACACTTCTATACTATTATCTTCATTATAATCACTGTATATCCTGAAGCAAGTCGCAATGTTAATGTGATTCGTAATAATAAAAACTTAAGAACTAAATTGTCACAAGACCGGCACAAGTAGGTCATACACTGTGATAATTATTGTTAACCGGAAGGTTTTTCTGTAGGCTATATGTTTGGCAATAACCGGAAATTTTGGCATTAAAGTTTATATACTGAATTTAATTAACTTACCAGATATAAAGTCGATCTTTGGGATAGTCCAAATTCTGTAAGCAAGTCAAAAAATAGGGCAAAGTGTGAGCTTTATTTCGCACAAGCACCGAAATACCGACGGTGGGCCATTTGAATGAATCATTTAAAGTTTCAGCACTACAACAACAACACAATAAAAGGACTACTACACTGATAGAACTCGTCACTTTATAGCCCGACATAGTGAGCAAAAATTAATATCCAAATGAAATGTTTCCAAAATATTTTAAATTTCTTGTTTGTTGTCATGTCACGTCACCGTGTCACCGGTTTGTCAGTGTATTTTTTTTTAATTTCTTTATCCATTCTGGATAGGCAAAGGGTACTGTGCCCATACGTGACCACAGTACAGACTACTTAAATACTACGTAGTAGCAAGGCACTTTTAAATTCTTATTCCTTGCGTAGGAGCTGAAATTCTCACGTGATATTAAGATTTTTTTATAATGAATTGATGTCAGATTGAACATTGAACATATTTGTGCTCAATCTTGCATCCATCAAAGCCAAACCCTTGGACGCATCACTTGTGCGAAATTATTAAAATTAAAAAAAAATTAGGGGTTTTTTGGCGGGATATCATCGAGTGTGGTTGGCGTGGGTTGGAGTCTTATTTTAATTATTCTTAAATTCGTTCATAGCAAAGACTTTATATATGTTCATAGTGGATATTGTGAAATAAAATTGGTGTGATTTTGTGTTACATCTGTCTGTATAACTGAAGAATTAGTAGAATCGTCAAAATATACGCTATTCCGGTCAAGTGGACGTGAGAATTTTATTGTAGTATTGACTATCCCACAGAAGCTTATCGAAAAAGCCAGCTCGATACATTTCGTGCCAAACACTTCAAGAAACATTAGAATGCGTCACATCGACATTCTAATGTAAAAAGAAAAACAGAATAATTTAACTTAAGACTAGGCTGTATGGGCATTGTTCCCCGTGCCTTCCCTGAAAAGGGAGAACCTAACCAAAAAAAAAATTATATATAAAAATGACAAACATTTCTAATCTTCGCTGGAGCGGTGTAATTTGCGAATATTAAAAATAATTTTAATTTCTACACCTACTGTACAAAACAAAATTGAACTAATTAGATTTCAATTATAATATTTGATTTACTAAGTTTTCTCTTAAACACTTTAAGAATTTACTGCCTACTCAGTGCCGTGTTTACAAGCCTACCTATTAGATTGAATCACTTTCAGAATGTACTATTTGTTTACATTTCTTAGTTTTGTACCATTTATTTGGTGCCAAACGGAAGAGAATGTTACATTTTCACTAGGTGGGTACAGGTGTTTGCAGTTCTAAGAGTTTCATGCAGTCTATCTAAATAAATCTGGGTTTAATTAAACCTAAAACTTAGTATAGTTACCAAATAAAATGTTATTACTAACAAGTCATAGCTTTTTAAGTCTATTTTTAAATAAAATGGTAAAAGATCCATTGATCTTTAAATTTGCAGATGATTTTAAATGCTCACTGCCAGATGTGAAGAGTCTTGATGATAATTTGGATGTTACAAGGTTCAGGTCTGATTTCTCTAAAATATCTGAGGTAATTTAAGAATCTGAATCCATCTTAAGTTTATACAAAGGCCATTTGTTTTTAACATAAGAACTTAGATATTATATTGTTGCAGGTAAAATTCCCCGGTCTTATAGGGCCTCTCAATGAGCGCCTTATCTGCAAAATTAAATGTATTGATGGAAACTGGGTTGGACCTCTTTGCTCATCAACACCTGGTAAGTTGAGATATGAAAGAACAGCAAAAACTATGTATTTTGAGGACAAATAATGGAAAACAAATCTTATTTTTTATGCTGTTCACTTTTTTTTTGATTTAAAAATTAAAAAAAAATCCCCCCTTAAAAAAGATGGCAAGCCTAGATTTGAAACATCTTTTGATTGAGAAGAAATGAATATAACACTGCTTCTTCTTGCCTAAACATGGAGATAAAAGGGACCACAGAGAAGAACATAGACTATTATAGTAGGTTATAGGATGGGTGAATTTAAGTTTATTATCTTAACCTATAAGCCCCTATGCTCAGTCACATAAACCAGTTTTGTGATGCACCCATCCATTCATAAAAAGCTTGACCCAGGGAGTCAGTGGTGTGATATCCCAACCAAACATGATATTTTATATATAATTATACATTTCTCCTAAATTTTAATATACAATTTCTCATAACTTAAGATATATTTTTTATAACAATTTTGTTTCCCGCTGGTTTAGTTGGATAAAAAAATATGATTTTTTTCTATGTAGTTTCTTTCCAGGGGGATGCAAGTGCATCTCCTTGCACACCTATCATCGCATCTGGATTTCACCATCACTTAACATAAAATGTAATGGAGTAATCTGACAGACCTATTCATGTATAAAAAGAACTTAATGTGATTGTTTTGTTTAAGATGGCAGGTTCCAGCCCATCTTAAGGGAGTGCTTATATAAAAATGATCATCCCCTGTTGGCCATCTCTTTTAAAAATTCATCAATTGAAGTAAGTAGTTGAGAAAGAACATCTCTTAATAGTCTTCTAATATTTTCACTCGCGCGGATCGCATATCATATCTATGGACATAACTTGGAAGATGAGCCATAACATCATCCACATGAGAACTTTTCTTAATCCCTTTGGAATGCCAGATGTTTGTTAGTGCTTTAAAATCACTCTTGACTTGTATTTTCTACAAATAGGTACTCAGTTGCTGACAAAAGAACCATTGCGCCAAATAGCAAAAACCACAGATTATCGAAATAATCGTGTCGATTCTGGCATGATTCTCTAAACCTTAAACTAAATGTAACATCAGTCTCTCCTTTTCATCAGTCAGCAGTAACATCAGTCTCTCCTTTTCATTCTTGATAGAGAGTGACAAGGATACAATGTTGTCAAATTAAAGTTTAAGTTTAGAGATTCTAGTCAGAATCGACACCATAGACATTGGTCCTAATAATAAATAAATCAAGCAACAAGGCTATATTTTGTTAATCGCCTATCTTCATTCCCATCAATCATAAAAAGTGTAAGGTAAAAAAATTAAAAAAACTGTGTAACTATTTATCTAGTTAGTTATTTCAAAAAAAGAAAGAAAAAGGCTGGAGGTGATGGCCGGTTGATGGTAGCCGATTTTAGCTTCTCAGCTTCCATTTAAAGTGAGAGTTGTAACGGGCGCCGGGAAGCTGGTGACATCTCCAGGTGTCCGGAATAACTTACGGGAACATCAGGTTTTAATCTCAAGGCCAGTTTTGACTAGGGTTGAATGATAAAGGTGTTTTCCTCTTCAATTATTTATTGTGAAAGTGTACATACCAGATTGGATTCCAGGCGTCAAAGTACATTAAGTATTGGATTTACTTAAGACTATTATGGCTGGTCCATGGTCAAAGATATCAAAATGATATTTATAAAGATATCATTAAAATTAAAGATGAAGCTAAAGAAATTAAGGATTATAAAGATTATAAAGACAAGAGCTGAAACAAAAGAGACTTTTGTGAGACCAGGCAACATGGCTAGATATATGTATGACAATTTTAATCTTAATTCTTACCTGCAATCGCAGCTCTTTTAAAGTTTTACTAGAGGGCCATTGGCACCTATATTAATTCACATTAATGCGGTGAGCGCATTTTTGAAAAACAAGTTATATTTAAGGTTATTATATTTCACATTTTAATAAAGTGACTGCTCATCTCCGCAAGGAATCGAAAAGTAATGTTGCCAGGTCGCACTTCGAAAAACGCCGCGAGTCTCAGTGTTGGCGCATTAAAATTTAAATTTGGGCATGGACAAACCATAAATTACAAAAGTTTACTTAAATTTAGAATGACAATTATTACGTATTTATTTTAATGTTTTATAAAATTAAGACAATTTTTAAAGATGTGTTTCGTTTATTAAAAAAAATAGGGAAAATCCTTAAGTGACGGATGTCAAACCATATATTATTTATTTATGTATGTGACGGCGTAGATACGACGTTACAAAAGGCTAATGTGAATTTGTGCTTTTTGAAGAGCAACCAAGGGCGAAGCTACAGTGGTAAACCTTAAAATATCATTGACCTACTGTAAAACGGGGCGGCAGCCGCGAAGGGCGGCGCACCCCTGCTTATATTACCGTGATACTACCTATAATTACCGTGACCCTATCTAAAATACAACTTTGGCTACGGCCCTGTGAGCAACTATTGTAAGTTTTGTTAAGAGGGTAGGCTGGAAAGTTTTTGAAGTGAAACTTCTTTACTCACGCTAGACTTGGGGGGTAAGCTGGCGAATGCGTACGAAAAGTGTGTTTGGGCGAGGCGAACGGGAGCTGAGTGGGGGATATAAGCAAGAGAAAGCAGTGCGCGCGCACATTTTATTTTTCTCTTTCTCATATAGCTAGTAAATGAAATATATAATATATACATACAAATGGAGCTAAAGAAGTTTCACTTCAGTCGTGTGGTCATAAGCATACTTTTTTTTTCCATACAAAGGTTCTCGATGATGATTCCTCCTTCATTTTTGTCACTGAAGAAATGATTAAATCATTCATAAAATATAATTTTACTCATTCTATGCTCCTAAGTCTTACTTTTTTCGATAACTTGTGTTTTGAAGCCCTCAAATTTGCCAAAAATAAAGAAATTGTTATCCCTACTAAACACGTCTAGTGTGGAGATTCACTAAGTATTTACAAAAAAATCTAAAAGTAGAGGCCTAGTATAATTATTTATTAATGAATATTCTATGGGTAAAATTTCTTTTACATACGAGTACTATCTAATTTCGAGGAGGAAATAGTCGTGAACCAATCCTCCAATATTCTACGTTAGCTACTGTTGTCCCTATCGCACGGTACTAACCAATGCGCGACAGCAATAGTTTTTCAAATACCTATTTCTCAAATGTCTCTCAACTCGCGTCTCCTCTTAAGGCTACTTCTTTCACTCGCAGGGCGAGGCTCACTTCCCCCACGGTTCTGTGATCACGGCGCGCTGCATCCACTTCGGGTTGTACAAACTGAAGGGCGACGGCACGCTGCACTGCGAGAACGGAGAATGGACCCCGAAACTGCCCGAGTGCGTTCCCACCACTGTAGTCACTAACTTTACAGGTTCGTTGGAATTTCGTTTTAATTTAGCGGTATGTTCAAATTGTTGTAGTATGACTTTCACAGTTTATTTTATTAATAACGAAACAATTTTATCACCATTATATAGGTACACATATATTTATAACTAGCCTGGCTGCGTATGGGTCAAGTGACAACAGAAATTGAGAAGTGCTAAGATTTTTATTAAATTTAAATTTTCAAGATTAAATACAATACATTTATCATTACAAAACAGCACAAAGTTGACACCCTGCCTTTAATAGATTCGGTTTTTTTATAAATACCTAAACATTTTTTTTTAATATTGTTGTGGGGGTACAATTTTCTTGAGCCACCACCACAGACAAATAAACTTGCGCAGTAGGCATTTTTGGATGTACAATTGCTACATCTTCTTTGTCTCCCTCTTTCTCTTTCTTGTTCTCTTCGTTGTCTATGGTTGTTGTTCAAGAACTTTGCCGGGATGTGTAACAGACAAAATTATTCCCGCTTTATAATACTTATCAGAACGAATACGTTAGGTGATGCGCCTCCCACCATCCAGTACACCATAGTGAGCGGGTCCGCCGTAGTGCAACCGTCTGGGGAGCTGTTCGTGTATCCAGACAGCTCTATACGACTGTCTTGTATCACGCCACGGGCCCTGGGAGACCCTGACTGGTCGTGGACTTCGGCCTTAGGACACCACGTCGCTGGTGAGAGACTCTTCAGTTTTTAGCAATTTACAAATGTCGATTTTGGCTTGATTCTCTAAACCTAAACTTAAATTTGACAATAGTGTATCCTTGTCATTCTATAAACAGATTGAAAAGACTGGTGAATGAATGACTGGTGTTAAATTTAGTTTTAAGTTTAGAGTATCACGCCAGTATCGACACCACAATCTTTATAACTACGCAAAAAGTAAGGTAGTGGCACCAATGACCGGCAAGAACCAGCGTTTGACATTCCTTTTCATGATCAATGAAAATAAGAGTAGGCACCGATCACTAAACATAGTAACATCGAGCTATAAACGCTCGCTGTTAGCATCTTTAGTGATCGGTTGTCTCCTTAGAATCTGAGGTTGCCTCACACTCAGCGACCTGCCACTCAGTTAGCCACTCTTATTGATCACATTAAAAATGACAGTCACTGGCTCCAGTTGGTAATTAATTGGTGCCAATAGCCTAGCTAATGAAATCTGATTTCATGAAAATGAAAATTTATTTCGGTACCAAAAAGGATTGATTTACTCTTTCCATTAAGTGCATAATGCACCTGTGCCAGAAGAAGTCGCTCTTCCATAAGATACAAGTTGTAAAGTATGGTACTTAAGCGCTGTAGTAGTTAATCTAATTTTTAATCAACAAGTGTGTGTACGTATGTGTGTGCATGGGTATGTTGTGTGAGTGTATTTCAGGTGGTTATTTTCATTTAGGTTTTAGTGATTGTTTTTATTCTGCAGCGTGGTCTACAGAAGACGGTGAGCAGGAGACTCACTATCGGCTAACTCTGAGCAAGATGTCCGCGCGGCACAGCGACCAGTACACATGCGCCGCGCCCGGCGGACACACCAACACTGTGCTCGTTAAAGTTGTTAGTGAGTTTTTACACGCTATTAACGACCTTATTCGCTCACTACATAAGCATTGAAATTGTATAAATGCATGAAACTGACTTAATAAACATTACAAACTTTAAAGTTGATGCCTTATTTGGCATTGGTAGGCTCCAGGGCCGCATTCCAATGAATCCGCCACTAGAGACGCTTGTGTAGCGTGAGGTCTGAAACAGTGCTCGACCGACGGTACGTCCTGAGTCCTGACCGTCGTCGGTAGCGAAAATGCATTCAGTGCTACGCTGACGGCGAACGGTGACGCGTGTGTACAGTTCACGAGAAAAATGAACCCATTTGCTGTAATATATGCAGGCTATTTATTGCGCAATTAATTCTTTACAAACTTCTTGCCAAGCACTTAGTATAACGGTCTTTATAAAATACATACGATAATTTCCATATTGCCGGACGAAGCAGCACTTCAGTCATACCAATATTCATTTTTGCTTTGAGTGTACGTACGCGCGTATGGTCGGTCGCTCCGTCAGAGAAGCACTGAACGCATCCATACAATCTCATAGCTCGTCGGTCGACCGACGTACGCGCGACTGACGATCCGAACCGACGGCTCGACTGACCGTTCGCGTGTACCAAATCATACGCGTACCATCAGCGTAGCTGTGTGCGCATTCATAGACTTGCATAGATATAGTTACGTCGACCGACGGTCAGCGCTGACCGTCGGTCGGGCACTGTTTCCAGCCTTAAAGTAAAATATTAAAGGACGTTTAAGTATATTATTAATATTTACATTTTCCTTGACCAAGTAAAATTTTTAAAACACTTCAAAAATAGATTGTTCTCAGTTTGACCTGTATGTAAATAGTACTGATCCTCTTTGGATGGGGTTTTCGGTATGTAAATACGTATTTATCAGGAAAGGTTTAAGTATATACTGTATATAATATACTAGCAGTGTCCCACGGTTTCACTCGCGCGCGATCGTCCTATCGTCTTACCCGTGTAATATTTCCAGACAATAGCTTATTATACACTAAAAATGGAAAAAATATTAAAAAAAAGAACCGACTTAAAAAAACTGAAAATGAAAAAATATATTTACCGACTAATATATTTGAAATCAATACCAAACCATGTGTTTAGCACAGTGATCATGAATATGGTATCGACTTCAAATATATCAGTCGGTAAACTTATTTTGTCATTTACAGATTTTTAAAGTCGGTTCTGTTTTTATAAAAAAATATATTTAAAGTTTAATTTAAAAAAATCTTTATAATTAAAATGTGTTTTTACGTGCTCACCATCAAGTTTGGTGTTGTAGACGTATCATGTCCGCCGCTGATGGTGTCTCCGAAAGTGCGTCAGTTCGCTCAGGGGTTGAAGCTGGGCCACGCGGCGCACTTCAGCTGCCAGCCCGGGTACCATCTGGAAGGACCGGCCATACTCACCTGTATGGGCGATGGTGGGTCATAGCCAGCGTTGCCAGATTTTTTTTTGCCAAGTCGGGATTTAGGAACTTTTTCGCCGTAAAAAAAAGTATTTAGTAAAATAACGTATCTAATCAAAAGTTTTTGAATATTTATCTTTTTATTTGAGTTCATATTACGTTTACGTGATAATAGATAGGTTCCTAGTAAAAATATCCATAGAAAATGTATATTAATAAAAATATGATATTTTAAATCAGATTTGCCCTATCGTTAAATAGTTGAGTCTTTGTTTGAGAGTTCTTCATTACGCGCCGGCAGTCTACACTTATCTGTGCCACCCGCCCGCACATTTAACTTTGATTTAAAAATCGGGACGTCCCGCCAAAATCGGGACATCTGGCAACGCTGGTCATAACGTACATAATCATCAGCTTATTAATGTCCACACTGTTGGGTCACAAGTCATTCCCTATGGATTAAATGGAGATTGTGGGCCGTGAATTACCACGAGGGCTCAATGCGGATTGGTGGTTGTTAACGACTGTAGATGCAGCCGGGACCAACGGCTTAGCGTGCCTTCTGAAGCACGGTGGAGCTCAAGATAATAAGTTTTTGGTCACCCATCCAATGACACACACTATAAGAAAAGAAATCATTTGACTGTTAATTTCGTTGGCAGTTTCATTCATTACACTTAAGGTTAATTGAACTACTGTTAAACCTTGATACACCTGCTATAGACCCCTATGGCGACCCTATTTTTAGAAACCAGAATTTTTAGGTTCAGGAGAAATCTTTTGTTGGAACTCTTAGTTGCAAGTACATAGTTTTATCGATACATTATTGGCAAATAAAATGTTGAGTATTTACAGGGTCTTTATCTTTGACAGCATATGGTGGACATATTAGATCATCTGCTGTCGCAAATTTTTTGATAGATGCATAATTGCAAGTCCGCATTTATTATACCAGTCGCTATACAGTTGAGAAACATGTTGAAATCATTAAAAATTACTGTCAAAACGGTAGTACAATTCATCAAACGTTCGTGCGTTATGGGAAACTTATGGTCAACGCAGCCGTCTTAAGGAGGATACTTTTCGTCTATGGTGAAATAATTTTAAAGTACTGGTTTGGGCTTTAAAGTCATTAAGAGATTTATGAAAGGCCGTTGCATTCTGAAAGAGTGACTATCGATGCGTATCTTGAACTAGGGGCTTAAGTAGTCCGTAATTTTGGAGGAGGTCGGTGCTGCCTTTATTGTGAGTTGGTCATCACTGGCTCATAATTCGGATTTCTTGTCCGCAATTGAGAGAAATTGATCTGAGGGATATTTAGATACAGCAGGGTAGTGTCATCTCTCATATTGCACAGGGAAACAGTCAATTTATTGAAAGAGAAATTCAACGAGTTCCGATCTCAAGATTAAGGAATAAGACTTGGTTTCCAATATCAGGTGATAACCCCTTGATTATATTTTTGGGGTTATGTAAAATTACTGGTGTACGCGAACAATCCAAGAACTATCGAAAATCTAAAGCTAAACATAAAAAGCGTCTTCAACGAGATAGTGGTGCCGTTATATCAAAAAGTGACGAAAATTGGACCTCTCGTATTCAGGCTACCTACCAAGCGGAAGTGATTATATAAACGATTTCATATTTCAGTTTCACACAAAATGCCAAAAAGTAAGTCCTAAAAAAGCAACTTTAATATTATTGTAAACATTGTTTTTAAACCCTTTATCAATGAGACCTTCCTTGTTATGATGTGACAGATAACTGCTTGCTGTGTGTGTATCGAAAGCAAAAACGTAACTTACTATTTTATAAGTAGGCGTTATCTTTGCTCTAAACGTGCCCTTCACCAACAACCCTGAACGGGGTCACACAACTCATAGGTGTTGTGTGTTTTTCTGTTACCATTTCAGTGGTTTCAACTATAAAACTAATTTCTTTTATAGAGAGAAAGCTAATTTAAGTAAAAAAACATCGGCCCACGCGTTTGTTCACGGTTACCAGGGCAATAACAGACATACACATAGTCTGACACATTATCCTCTACGCGTCACGCCTTTCATATCGTAAAAAAGGGAGTAATTTCGGCCAACAGGCGACCATTATTTAAAAGTAAAGGACATTGCTCGTTTCCCATTCATTGAATGCCCCAGAACGTACAGCAATGAAAAAATGCTAGTTGTATTAGGAACCATTCATAAACTCTCATTAGGCATTTGTTGAAATATTTGAGGAACCGTGGCCTACTACAGAATGTATTAGATTTTGAGGTTATAATTATTAAATTTAATCGGAAACGATGTCAACTTTATAATAATATAATTATTGTTTACCTCTATGTTAGTACTTAAATAATATGAATTAAATGAACATAAAATGCAATTAATAATAGAAATAATAAATGCTTATATTCATATTGATTTATGTGTGTTGGCATGATACCTAAACATACCTGCCTCATAATAGATTATTTTTGAAATGAAATCCATTTACCTGTTTCTATATTTTATTATTGGTAATCAGATATTTACCTGGTTATCATTATATTACCTGATTGTATAAAAATAAATAGATATTATATGGAATGGGAGTATGAAGGGATATTTTTAAATGCACAGCAAATAACTTATTACCCATCAAATTATTAACAGCAATTAAATACTTTTTTTCATCAACATAATTATTTAACTACAAACAAAACATTTGTTGAACAAAACTAGTGCTGAAAATAATTCATAAATATACATCTAATCTGTAGTAACAAAAAACTTGTTTTATTGTACAGAAATATGATTTTCATATCAAATATACTGATTGCACAGCAAATATACCGATTGCATAGAAAATTAACCAGGGCTTCGACGCAAAATTCTCGCACAACACAACTATTTTTGCAACAGGTTTCCCATTAAGCATTTCAAAACTTGCTCAACATTGGGACACTTTTGATGGTTATGAAAATAAAGCGAGTGTGCTTATGACCACACGACTGAAGTCAAACTTCTTTAGCTCCAAAGATCTGAAAATCATAAGCTTAACCTGAAGATTTGTTGATAGAAAAAGAACCACCAATCGGTGCTGGGTCCGTTATCACCCTCCAATCCGCACTGGGTCCATTATCACCCACCAATCTGCGCTGGGTCCGTTATCACTCACCAATCCGCACTGGATCCGTTATCACCCACCAATCTTCACTGGGTTTATTATTACCCGCCAATCCGCGCTGGGTCCGTTATTACCCTCCAATCTGGACTGGGTCCATTATCACCCACCAATCCGCGCTGGGTCCATTATCAACCACCAATCCGCGCGGGGTCCATTATCACCCACCAATTCGCGCTGGGTCCATTACCACCCACCAATTTGCGCTGGTTCCGTTATCACCCACCAATCTGCACTGGGTCCGTTATCACCCACCAATCCGCACTGGGTCCGTTATCACCCTCCAATCCGCACTGGGTCCGTTATCACCCTCCAATCCGCGCTGGGTCCGTTATCAGCCACCAAGCACTAGATTCATGTATTTTGTGACGGGTATTGTTCACTGTTTACCGATGAGTCACCAATGACACTAATCGTAACGCGAAATCGTAACAGATTCGCACAATTTACCCCCCAAGTCAAGCGTGCCTAAAGAAGTTTTACTTCAATAATTAGATTCTTATGTCAATTAAAATGGTGTTTCACTTAGGTAAACTGCTGTTTGAGATAAAAATATGGCAGCTTCGTTTAAAAAAAAATATGTAATATATTTGTTATGAGGTGGTTATTATTTGCTATGCATTCTTAAAAAAGCTTTAGTTTTAATCGCGAACATCACGAACTTAAATTGTTACTAATATAACAATATTTTGAGGTGACTATTTTGCTGTGCAATTAAGTTTTTTTTTTTTTTGCTTATTATTGGGAATTATTATATATACATTTTTTTGTTTTTGGTTTGCAGTTAAATACTAACCTATTAAAAATACTATTGATAATTAGTATTAACAAAGGAGGGTAGGTACAAAGTAAATAGTGCTCTGAATCACGATTTTAAGACAGACTAGATACTAGATATCGCATGCTTGAAATTCTGTGGTCTAATTGTTTTTTTATACACAAACGGCACATCTCTTTTAAGACGCTTTTGAATTTAGATGAGACGAGACTGTTTTTAAGGCTCTAAGGATGACATGACAGCAAATTGTGTAGTGGTTACAAATTTTTATTTTTCATAGAATGTCAGCTTACTATGTTTAATTTCTAATAAAGTAAAAAATTAAAGAAAAATAATAGTGTAGGACATTCATTTGTGCATGCTGGGGCAGACTTCATCGATGCCCTTTATGTATTACATGTGTACGTTAATACGCTTCCATCTGCATTCTGGAGCGTCTGTTCAGCTCCTGCGACTCCACTCGGGCCCACTGGTTAAGGCAAGACAGAGGCTGGGGGGTGTGTAAAAGTGAGTAGGACGTATGTGTGTGTAAGCGCATGTATATATCTATGGTCCCTCTGTAAGTAGGGTACTTACGTGGTGTAGCCAATCACTGCCAGCTCGCCACAAGCTGCCCTGCCTTTACTGACTACACTGAGAATCCAGTCGGTGTCGGGGTCGGCACGTTCCGAAGCCTTATTATTATTAACTAAAATAATGTAACAAATCGGGGTAAGGTCGTTGGTCGTCGTCGCACCCGCGATGCGTGGAGACGTCGTGCCCGCCGCTGCGCGCGCTGAGCCCCCAACTGAGCGTGGTGGAGTACAACGCGTCATGGGGCGGGCGCGCCGTGTTCCAGTGCGCATGGGGCTACCGGCTTGTGGGCGCGCCCGGCCTCGAGTGCCTGCTGGACGGGCGCTGGTCCGGCGCGCCGCCGCACTGCGCGCGTGAGTATATACCCCCTGGCAGAGCGAGAGGGGTGCCTCACCGGCCTCTAGTGCCGGCCACCGGCGCCGCCCTGCACTGCGTGTTAGGTGCAATATTTGTTTATGGTTAAGTTTGAAGTGAGTGAAAAATAAATGAGTTGTCATAGCGACACTGAAATAACAAGATGGGTTTTATTGAAATAATATTTTAAAGTATCCTTTTATCTAATTTCCAACTATATTTAACATGGTAGCAGATCAATAAATGAAGATTGAACTGGGTTGCGATCCACGAAAAGGAAAAAGTAAAAAAGAAGAGAAATTAATATGACGACGACAACGCTGCCGCTCCTTACAGAAGGTACGAATTTTGGTAATTGGAAATATAGATTGATGTTGATTTTAGAAGAAAGGCAAATAAAATACGTATTAGAGAATGAAAAATGTGACGAATTTGTAAATTTTGACAAAGATGATTCGAAAGCGAAATCGTTAATAGCGCAATGTACAAGCGCTAAATATCTAGATATTTTAAAGAAAGGGCGAACAGCAAAGCATATGATTTCCCTACTTTTAGAAGTTTTTGAGCAAAAAAGCATTTATAACAAATTACATTTAAAAAGAAAATTAATTACGTTGAAATGTACAAATACATAGTCATTGCAGCAGTACTTTATGAAGTTTGATACTTTATTGGGAGATTTGGCTGCAATAGACGTAAAAGTAGATGAGGAAGACCAAATTTGTTATCTTTTATCGTCACTTCCGAAAGAGTTCGAACAGGTAATTACTTCCATAGAAACCATGGCAACGGAAAAACAACTGAATTTAGAATTTGTTAAAACAAGACTATTAGATGCGGAAACAAAATTAAAATTGAATAATGATACGGACACACAAAACGAAATTAACAATGCCTTTATTATTAAATGTTACGGATGCGGAAAAACAGGACACAAATCTTTTGAATGTAGAGCAAAAGGCCGCAGAGGAACTAGCTTCCAACGGAACCGTGGGTACCGCAATGGACGTAGAGGACGAGGGCAAGGCCATTCATCCAGGCACGACGGAACACAAGCTACGTATGCGGAAGTGGACAATGAGTTTTATTTCCTGATGAACACCAATGCAATGGTAGGAGAAGTGAACACAAATAATGTAAGTGACCATAATATACTTGAATTTATAGTAGATTCTGGTTGTACGGAACATTTGATAAACGATAAATATTTAGATAGCATGTTTGATATTGTTGTAGGACGAACTGTGAACATTTTAGTTGCCAATGGACAATACATTACCGCGAATAAGAAAGGAAAAATAAAAATTGAATATCAGAATTCTAAAATAATTATAGAAGCACTAATTGTAAAAGACATAAGATTTAATTTACTCTCAGTAAGTAAGTTAATAGAAGCCGGTTATAATGTAAATTTTGATAGGTCTTGTGTTAAAATTTTTAAAAGAAATCATTTTATTACAGCTTTCTGTCAAAATAAATTTATATAGAATATTTGGTAAAATTTATAATAATATTTTTTGTAACAATATATTGAATTGTGAAAATAGTTTATGGCATAAGCGATTAGGTCACTTAAACAGAAAAGGTCTGGGTATAATGAAGTTACCTATATCTGACAAAATGTGTGAACCCTGCATAGAAGGCAAAGCAACACGTTCTACGTATAAACCTAGATCGATCGATGATTGCCGAAATGCTTCATACTGATATAGCTGGACCGATACGCAATGTTGGGCTCAATGATGAAAAGTATTTCATGACAATCATAGACGATTTTTCTCATTTTTGTGTAGTTTTTATATTGAAATACAAGTCTGAAGCTACACAAAATCTCATAGATTATGTTGCCAAAATAGAGAATGAATCCGGAAATAAAGTTAAAAGAATACGATGCGACAATGGAGCTGAATATACAGCGAACTCAATTAAAGATATTTATAGGCGGAAAGGAATTAAATTAGAATATACGTTACCAAATACTCCTCAACAAAATGACGTAGCGGAACGTATGAATAGGACGTTGTACGATAGAGCTAGAACTCTTTGCAGAAACGAACATTCCTAAAGATCTTTGGCCGGAAGCAATTAGCTGTGCTGCGTATCAATTAAATAGATGTCCATCGAGTGCTATACGATACAGAACACCTTGCGAGGTAATGTATGGAAATAGAGATTTATCGAGATTGAGAATTTTCGGATGTAAAGCTTGGGCAACAGTTATACCTAAGGAAGATAAATTAAGTAAACGAGCTATATGTACAAGGATGGTTGGTTATAGTAGAGTTGGCTATAGATTATGGGATCCAGAGAGCAATAATATAATTATTTCTAAAGATGTGATATTTAATGAAAATGATTACAGATATAATGAAAACACGACAGAAAAAGGTGAAAGAAAACACGAACTAGTACAGAAGGAAGAAAATGATGAAGATAAAGAATCAGCTGAAAATGAGAATGATCATAAAATGCGAGATGACGAAATAAGAAATGCTACTGAAGAAGTACAAGAAGTAAGAAATGAAGAAAATGAAGTAAACAGAGAGGTAAGATGTACATGATTAGGAAGAATAGTTAAACCTCCAAATCGTTTTGAAACAAACGTTGTATATTGCAAGTTAGCTCAAGAAGGCTATGCTTTATTGTTAGATGCCCCAAATAGTTATGAAGATGCTGTCAAAAGTGAAGATTGGTAGAAAGCAGTAGATAAAGAGTTGAATGCTTTAGAAAAACTAGAAACATGGGAAGAAACAAATTTACCTGAGGGAAAACAGGCAATAGATACGAAATGGATTTACAAAATTAAAGATGATGGAACGAAGAAGGCGAGATTGGTTGTAAGAGGTTTTCAACAAAAGAAAGAAGATTATTTTGATACAATTTATTCGCCAGCAGCAAGACAATCAACTGTAAAAATGTTTTTATCGAAGGCTGTAAGAGAAGATAAAAGAATACGTCAGCTAGATATACCAACAGCATTCCTCAATGGGAAAGTAAAATCAGAAATATATATTAAAGTACCTAAAGGATTGAAAACAGAAGAAAATAAAGTTTTAAGACTGAAGCGTTCATTATACGGTCTTAATGAATCGCCGCTATGTTGGAATGAGAGGATAGATACTTTTATGAAAGAAAAATGGATTTTGTAGGTCAGGTCATGACTCTTGTCTATATTTTAATGATAATTGCTGGGTGATTATATATGTTGATGACATTTTAACCATGGGAAATGATAAATTTATATTAGAAAAGCTAGCAGAAGAATTTAAAGCTAAAGATATGGGTGAGCTAAGTATATATTTAGGTATGGAAGTAACAAGAGACAATGATAAAATGATTATGAAGCAGACGAGAATGATAGACAAGATTTTAGCTAAATTCGATATGGCAGAATGTAAAGGAGTCAAAACACCTATGGAAACAAACTTTAATGTGAAATTTGAGGAAAATGAAAATAAGATTGATGTACCATTTAGACAACTTGTAGGAAGTTTATTGTATTTATCTATCACTTCTAGACCAAATATCACATTTCCTGTCTCATATTTGAGTAGATATTTAGATAAAGTTAATGAAGAGTTATGGAAAGCTGGTAAAAGGATACTGCGATACCTTAAAGAAACAAAAAACAAAGGTCTATTATTTCAGAAAGGTGATGGTGAATTAAGTCTTCTTGGATATTCTGACGCTGATTGGGCTAGCGACAAAGCAGATCGGAAAAGTATTAGTGGTGGCATAATACTGCATGGTAAAAATCCGGTTTTATGGTTTTCTAGTAAACAAAAATGTGTTGCTCTGTCTACAGCAGAGTCAGAATATTTAGCAGCAGGTAGTACAGCTCAGTGGTTGATAAATTTAAAAGGAATTTCAGAATCTTTGGGAGAATCTAATTCTATAACTTTACTTGTAGATAATGTAAGTGCTATAGCTATATCTAAAAGTTATGAGAATTCAAAGAGAACGTAACATATAGATATAAAGTACCATTTTTTGAAAGATTTAGTGCACAACAAAATATTAAATATAGATTATGTAAATACGCACGATAATTTGCCAGATGTTATGACGAAAAGTTTCGGTAAAGAAAAATTTGATTATTTAATTGCAATGTTATCTGTTAGTTTTTATGTAGGTATGTTATGTTATTTTTGTGTTTATTTATATTGTAAATGTTGTCATATAAAGTAAATTTAACCATTATAGATATTGAGAGGGGGTGTTAGGTGTAATATTTGTTTATGGTTAAGTTTGAAGTGAGTGAAAAATAAATGAGTTGTCACAGCGACACTGAAATAACAAGATGGGTTTTATTGAAATAATATTTTAAAGTATCCTTTTATCTAATTTCCAACTATATTTAACACTGCGCGCGAGAGTATATTCCCCCTGGCAGAGCGGGAGGGGTGCCTCATCTGCCTCAAGTGCCTGCTGGACGGGCGCTGGTCCGGCGCGCCGCCGCACTGCGCGCGTAAGTATATACCCCCTGGCAGAGCGAGAGGAGTGCCTCACCGGCCTCGAGTGCCTGCTGGACGGTCGCTGGTCCGGTGCCGCCCTTTTTTTGTGACGCAGGCAAAAACTCTGTTTACAGACGACGGCGCCTTTAAGACGGACCTCACACCTGGCTCCCGCAAACCTTACGAGCCCCCACAGTGGCTGCCCACTGAGGACCCTGTAACTCTTACAGGCGCTTTACGGCATAATATCCGCTAAAAATCCCTGCGAATACCCTCTAAACTGCTTAGTGCGAAACCGCGGGATCCCCGTTTAGGGATTCTTCCGCATCTCCCCACCCAGCAGCCTCCCGGCCTAGCCGGGGCTCCACGGCAGGGTTCTCCCGAGGTATTGCGGGGACCCCGCAGACGTGCGTAGGATGGCCCGCGCGTGGGGGCTCTGGATACGCGGCCTGGTCCGGTCCGGCCCTGCACTGCGCGCTTGAGTATATACCTTCTGGCAGAGCGTGCAGGGTGCCTCACCGGCCTCGATTGCCTGCTGGACGGGCGCTGGTCCGGATGACATGATCCTCATGTACATTTTTATCTACTTTCACATTTATAATTACTTTTTAAATTACAATTTTCAAATTAACATTTCCGAACCAATGGCGCTTATATTTCAACGACTTTTCCTTCATACTGAGTACATTCTAATACTTCAATATTTTCAAACGATAAAATTAATTCTATATTGCCTAGAATATAATTTTGGTGTTGTTCCACAGCTATCTACTGTCCGGATCCTTTAATCCCCGAGCACGGGCGGTTGCTCACCGCACCAAAGCACGGGTCGTACACAGTTGGCGACTTGGTGAGTTTCTCTTGCGATAACACCTTCCACCTGGCAGGGGAGGCGTCCATAGTGTGCACCGAGACTGGATATTGGTCCCATCCGCCACCATTCTGCGGCCCTGTCGAACAACGCACCATCGACACTATATTCGTGGAGAATTCCACGCTAGTACACCTTGACGATTAGGCGAAAGCCTTGTTAGTTATTCTTTTAAAAAACAAAGGAATATCTCTAAAGTCTTTGTTATTAGAATTTTTCTTTAAATTCAAAGCAAAGAACACTTATCACATACAGTCTAGTTGTAGGAAATATATATGGGTGTTTCTCTGTAAGCTCTTTCAGGTCCCATACAAATGCTGTCCTGGCAATTTATTTGAAAATTTGCATTAAAATCGAGTTCTATTTCGAAGAAAATTTGCTTATCTTTTATTTAGATAAGGAGACCCACTGAATTTATACGTATGTTCCGAGTTATTAGTATTTTCCAAAAAATCATGACAGGGGACTGTTTGAATCATCAGGGGACTGTTTTAACAAGTGACAAAAGGATTGTTGTACTGAAAAAGAAAGTCAATTTACATAATTCAATCATTTATTTTTATGGCATAACTCTCAGCGCACGAATAATCAAGTCTCTTTAGAAAAAATTTAAAAAATCAAAAAACGCGACTGCTTAATTATACTCCAAATAAAAACCAGTAGTCTATAATTCTGTTAATAAGGAACAAAGCTACTTTAACAGTCGGGACCCATTATTGAAAAATATTATGTATTGTTGAATATCTAATGGGTCCCGACTGTTAAAGTAAGGGAATTAATATCGCGGGAATTATTAAGTACCTTGCGGTGGTCTAAAAGATTTATTTATTAAGACATATAAGACATTTTACCAGCGGGGTCAAGGCTACAGATGGGCCTCAATTTTTCGCAAAAATGTGTGAAGTTAAATCAAGTCGTTACATAAATATGTAATGTATGTAAATTTTATAGTAAACTAGCAGTTATTCAAAAAATCATCTTTTGTTCTTTTTAGTAGTTTAGCAGGAAATATAAAATTCATTTATTTTTATTTGTCGACTATTTAAAATTGGCAGTGGCAGCATTGTCATGGCAACGTCCGGCTCCAAGATTGTGATATACACAAATGCAGTGTCATATCCTAGTCTCATATTTTGATATAACTACCTACATAATTCACAGAAACCCAATATTTAAATGCCAGAAGTTAACTTCAAATGTTGTTAATCACCCTATATACAATACCAATCAATGACGTTTATGTCGCATTTTGCAGATAGTGCAAATATTTTATTTTGTATAAAAAAAATACCGAATAACGTACCGCTGTTAAGCACAAATACTAAGTAACTTTTACAAATATAATCAAATGAACCTATTACTTACTTTATTTTTAAATCTTTTTCATCAATTAAATACTATTATCCTAACTATTATACTAATATTATAAAGAGGCAAGATTTGTATGTTTGTTACAAATAATCTGTCTAAAACTACTTAACCGGTTTCAAATATTAATTCGTCATAACGTAGCTACCTACATTATTTATTATTACATTTTTCTTTATTTAAGTACATTTTGTCCGAGTGACATAGGCTATATTTTATCCCGATAAAATAAATTCCGCCCGTACAATGCCCGGGTGGATCACTAGTCAGTATAATATAATGTTATAGATGCGAAAATGAGTTTGTTCGTTGCGCTTCCGTGCCCTAATAGCTAAATCGATTATAATGAATTCCCCTATAGAAGTAGATGGGAACTTGGTTCTTAGCTACAACATCGCAATACTTATAGGCGTAGGGTGATGAAAGGGGTGACTTACCTATATAGGTAAAAATCTATATTATTTACTTTGAATTTTGCAGAATTATCGTTTATAATTACAAAACCAATATTATCGCGAGCTGATTAATAAATACAGGGATTCCAATAAGGATGTACCTACTAGCGAAAAATGGGTTATTTGCCATTATATTAAGTAAACCTTTTTAGTAACGATATGTAATATCGTTAAAAAAAATTAAAAACTATAATTCTGAGTTTTTCATTAAAATTCTATAATCATAAAATACCTATTAAGATAATTTATTTTTCATCATTTAATAAGAAGGAACTGTATCACAGTTTCATTGTACGTAAGTATTGTATGTAAGTACTTCATATAGGACCAGATACTGCGAGTAGCCCATTTTTTCTATTTCGCCTAGGTTTTATCCACGTTTATAAACACCTACATTAAATTTCTTATCTTAGTATTGATTCCCGTAGTCTACTCCTACATAGTATACCGTGCTATCACTTTGTCATCGTTGTAACTTTTCAAATATTTGTCAAAATGACATAGTGTAAAAAGCAATGTTTATCATCTTTAAATATCAAAAGCGATTAAAGTATTTGTTTTGATAAAAAAATAATTTGTTAATACAAAATGTACATTTTGGAAATAGATATCAAATAATATTTTAGTTTTGATTCATTATTTTAGCGGTAATGGCTTACACATTAAAAATAGATATATGGTGTCACGGACTTTTTTTAAGAACTATGTAAGAGGTACATTTTCACTCTACATTACATTCATGTAACTTTTATTGTTTTTGCAGTGCAGGCCATAATGGCTTGCAGATGGGAGATTTTTTTCCGTCTTATGTGACACTTATTGTTATATTTTGGCCAATTCACTCAATAACTACATAAATTATAATATATATGTTATTATCATATATGAGCTATATTACTGTTAAGTTTCATTAAAATCCATTCAGTATTTTTAGGTGAAAGAGTAACAAAGATTCCATACAAACGTAAGATTGAAATTAAAAGCGCAAGTGGTTAATATACATCTTTAAAGCGTTGTAGATCCTAAACAATCATATAAAATGAAAAATGGTGTTAGGAACCTAAACATGATTTTCGATTATCTAGACGGTGATACCCCACTCGACATATTTTGTCAACTTATTTTTTTTACTTCGTCACAATATGGCGCCTAATTTTGCTCATATTGAATTATGATTATTATCATATCTTTAGTAGCACTCCCATGATTGAGACGAATCGATTGATGTATGAATCATCAAAATCGGTCCAGGCGTTTGGTCTCTATAATGCGATTCAAATAAGAATAGGAAAGCCAATGACCTCCATCTGTCAAATGTCGCTTGAAAAGAACGGCTTGCAAAAAAATCTTGGAACCCTCTTTCAGCTAATTATGGAATAAAAACCAAACATTTGTAAACAAACAATAACAAATATTGTTAATTAATATTGGTTGATATTTTATTTTCATTTATTGAGCTTTGGCTATGAATTTTTGATAACCTAAATCGTCAACCAAATGTCACTTTAAGTTGCGTTCAGAAACTCGATTTAAAACTTTGGTTTACATAAAGAATGCATGTGCGTATGTGACCTAGTAATAGTGCATGATTATTCATAACTACTCCGGCGGTAATGCAGAGATGAGCGGAATTGAAGAGCACAATTCTGATTAATGTTTTTTCTCGCACAGTCTTAATAAATAAATATTATTAAAAATCGGTTATTTTCTTTTCTCAATTTTAGTAAATCAATTTTATTAAAAAACTTTTTTTTTCACTTATCTTAGTAAATAACTTTTATTAAATAAAAACTTTTTTGCTGACTCTACCTTTTTCGTTTGAATTAACAGCTTTGACGTCACAATATGGCGCCCCATCCATCCTATTCTTAGTTGAATCGCATTATAGTGTGCCACAAAGGAACAAACATACATATATTGTAACGTACCTTAATATGGTTTCGACCCATGGTTTCGATTATCATAGGTTCCATTTCGCACATTTTATCATATAACATCATCGATATTCATCAGGCATCATCATATATTTCATTATTTATTCCTGGAAACACATAATTTCAAAAATATCACACACTATTCATCATTTTGTAAATACGTATAATAATTTCTTCTGTACTGAAAATCACTATTCCAGAGTGCTGGAATACACTTACCGGCATTTCTCTTTATTCTGTTATTTACTTGTTTTCACTAATTTTTTGATTTTATCTATTTTTAATTTATTTATTTTATTGACATTTATGACAACCTAATGTTTTTTATCCGTTGCCATGGCTACCCATGACACGGATACTCTCTCCAACTACGTCTATGATTATTCAACCTCCACAGACCACCTACTTTGATTCTTTTTGGCTCGATTCGAACCGTGTCTAAATTCAAATGGTTCCGGACTTATAAAAGGCCGAGCCTCCCTGATCAGTCATTCAATTCTACGGCAAAAGTTGCCTACTCAACTTTTGAAAGCTCGCTACCGAGCTCTAAATTAATAAAAGGCCTTGTCCCGGGGCCGACTGCCCCGGGACTCAAGAAAGACCTCAAAGCTTTTTAGCACCTATTGGCTCTTTAAACAACTTCCTAACTCTAATACTATACTACTCTTCACGTACTCGCAACCTCATCGGTGGGACTGCGCCTGGACTCCAGCTTCTTCGGCCAGCCTCCAACTGCTTCAGCCCGTCTTCTACCGACTCCTGCCGTTTCATCAACGCCTGCCTCTGGCCGATATACGCCGGCCAGACTACCAGCAGCGCCGCCAGCCACCACCAGGGCAGGCCAAGAACTAAGACGGCTGCACAGGAGCGCTTCTGCCTCCAAGGAGCGCCGTCCATCTGCCTGTAGCACGACCTACCGTTCAAGCTGCCCCTGAAGATCGCCGACGACCCACGCCAACTTCACACCCCACACTACACACACATACCATACCCCTATTCTTTTTTTTAACCTGTAAATTCTTCTTATTCTTGTAAATATATATATTTTATAACCTCTACCTGTTTTCTTTCTTTTTATTTTGTCGCTACACGACAAAATTGGCGCCCAACTCTTTAGTTTAGTCTTCAGGTCTTGCCTTTAGTTTTTCCTCTTCCTTACCTTTATCTTCATTTATCCCTCCAGCCTCCCCTCTAAATTCTAAAACAACACTTCTTCTAGTGCCCCTATCCCATTCATCCCCTTTGGCATCTTATTTGAAAATAAAAAAAAAATCCCCTTTATCATAAAATATATATATATATATTTATATATATTGTAAATATTCTTAACTTGCTTTATTTATCTAAATACCTTTATACTCTATTTAATTGTAAATATTAGTCATCTTAT